TGCCCCTGCTTGAAGCTGCCCCTCTCTGCCTTGTCTGCTCCTCACCTCTGGGGCCCTGAGCACTGCTAAGGCCACCACGCTGCTGGTCCCCCTGGTCCCAGTGGGATGATCCCACAAGGGCCTCGTTCGGCTTCAGCCAATGTGGCAAAATGTGACTTCTGGGCTAGGATGGACTCCCTAATTATTGAGTAATGAGTCTAAGGTGTTTGAATCGTAGCCCTGAGCCACCCTCTTTACCATCTTGCTGAAACAAGTGTGCTGCAGGCAGATTCTGGAGATAATTGGACATTTTCAAAACCTCCATTCTTCTGCAGAACTTGTAGTGCTTCCATTTTTCCCTGCCCTTGCCTTATTCCTGTCTCTTTCCATCTACTGTGACTGTTTTCTGTTTTTACTCTTGACAAAGGGTTGTGGGCTTAGAGGCTGCTCTTGTAGCTGTGGATGTAAAATGCCTGCTGTGTGGTGTTTGTCATGAAAGAACCGCTCCTGGAAATAAACTAATTCACAGACCTAACTCATTAACTCTGCAGCCCCACAGAGCCTGGAGGAGCGTCTGTGTGGTTTCTGTGCCGAGGGCACTGGGCTGGGGGAGAGGGACAGAAGGGAGCTGGGGAGACCCATGTCTGTGATCCCAGCTATTCTCCTGGCCCGTGCCAGGGTTAGCAACTCATTTCCCAGCCCTGTCCCCCTTTCCCATGCCCTTGATCTCTTCTGCAGTTCAGCTATCAGGGCAGGAGCTCTGTCTCATTGAGCCTGTCCGGTGCCTCGTACAGGGAGGCCTTGACCTTGGTGGGGGCACTAATCACTCCTGTTGTAGAAACAATAAGTACTGGAGAGACAAAGAGTTATGGAGCTCCAGATGTCAGTTTGTTCCTGTCTGGATGTTCTCCCTTTACTACCTCTGCCTCCAGAAGGATGGCTGCACAGCTTCGGGAAGCACAGGCTGATTCCTCCTCTATCTCTTCTCCTTCCCTCAGGCCCAAACCCGGTCCCACCTGGAGCCAGTGGCAATATTCCTAGAATATTCCAGAAACACCCTGGAAGTGGACCAGGTTTTCCTATCCTAAGCAGCATTGCTTTAACATCAACCCAGATGCTTGGAGTAGAGTGGGAGCCAGATGAGGTCACTCAGACTGTTTCCAGGCTGAGAGGTTTCCCTCTGGGCATGGTCCCACAGAGTGCACACTGCCTGCCCTGGCCACGCATCCCTCCATGCATGGCACTGGAGCTCCCCTGGGAGCTCTGCTGGCCATCTCTGCACCTGTGGATGGGATGAGTCCTCTGCCCCCTCTGCTGAGAGACTGCCAGGAGCTTCCCTGAGCCACGGGAGGGTCACCCCTCCTTCTGCCAGCAGCCTGTCCCCAGGCAGGCAGCACAGCAGCCACGGCTTCTCCTTGCTGGCGTGGTGGTTTGGACTGGGGCTTGCTGAGTAATGCGCAGCTCGGGTGGGTTTCTGAGGCTTGGGGCTGGCAGAATGTGCACACTAGAAGTCCCAGGGGGCTGAGGTGGTGACAGCTGGTGCTGTTTGGGATCAGGGATCACGCCTGATGTTGTGGCTGCGTGTGCTCCCAGCTGACACTCGGGGCTGAGCGCTGCTGGGAGCGCATCCAGCGTGTGCCGAGGCAGAGGCACTCAGGCTGGGCACCTAGAATGAGGAAAGGAAGCAGAATAATTGCTGGACAAGGAAGGAGATATATTCAGCTCCTCTATTTAAGCATGCCTTCCCACAGGATTGCTGGCTCTGCTTGCCAAATGTGAGCTCTGGCCACCAGGGACAGGAGAGAGGGAGATTTTCTGCCAGTTGATGGAAACTCGAGCAGAAGGCTCTGAGCCAGGCAGTGCCCACCGAGAGGAGGGTGATGATGGCTGCTGGGCTGGGCTTATGGGGGTGTGAGTACTGAGGCATACCTGGCACTGGGGCAGGTGACAAAGCACACCTGAGAGCACCTTGGGATGAACTCTCTGGATTCCCCAGCCAGAGGCAGATCTCCTGATGTCACTCATCCCTCCTTTTGTTTCCCCTGGATGCTGCAAACATCTTCACACAGCGAAAAGTGGTGCAAGGATGTCCTGCCAGTGAAGACCCAAGTCTCTGTGCAGCACCAGGGAGCCCTGCAGACTTCAAAGCTCTGGCCTTGATCCCATGAAGTCATGGCACCTTTTTGGAGGCACACACAAAGTAATAAGGGCAAGGCTTGTTGCAGAAGGCACACTGCTGAAACGAGGAGGCAGGACTAGTACTGGACCCAAGCCAGCTCATGTCCCATGAGCTCTGCTATGCCTGCATGCTCTGGTACAGATTTAGCAGCAGCAGAACCCTGTGCTCTGTACTGTCAGGGTCACCAAGGTGGCAAACACTGTGGGACCATGCAGACTGGCTCTGCAGGGCAGTAGCTGACCTACCAGATGCATGAGGTGCTTTCACAAGGGCAGCCTTGTTGCCAGGTGTGATCCCCATCACTGTAGAGGTGTATCCAACTGTGATTCCCAAGTACCTTCAGATCTGACCCTGCTTTTGGCAACCCTGCCTTGCTTCATAAGGATCACTCTGGTTATTGCTGTAGCTGATGACTGTGAACCTGTAGAGAACCCAAAGACAAATGAAAGTTATCGGAGTGTTGAAAGTCTCCTCTTTGTAACTTCATTCTGCAAGAATTCAGGGTTCTGTCAGAGTAGATGGTCAGATGTCAACGGCGAGGCAGGGCCAGAGCCAGAGATGAGGAGATGTAAGGATTAACCTGGCAAAACCACTATCTGTGGTTCAAGATTTGTGCTTTCAAGTCCTGCCAGGCTACCAAGGCTGGAGGTGATGTCAGTCCGTGGCTGGCACATGACCTGGAGGCTGCACTCCTCTGCACAGCGGATCTGCCAGAGGTCTGGGGAACCAGCTACACACTGCTCCTTCCCATGCCACTCAGACAAGCCCTTTCTTTTGTCCAGTGCTCAGAACTGTGCGTTATGTCAGTCTGAGCTTGCCCCACAGCACCTCTGCAGTCACCCAGATGGTCTGGATACAGCTCGTGCTCAGTCTGGAGCAGGTAGTTCAGAAGCACAACAGCAGAGAGCCTTTACTGCAGCAGAGGTTTTTTTCCATCGACTGCAGTTGTTAATTTGCCTGATGCTTGAGCAGAAAAAAGTGAACAAACACCAATTAGCAGGAAAACCAGTAAATATAACCTTTTTGGACTTCAGCATGGCTTTTGATAGTCCTTCTCACAGTCTCCTTCTGGACAAAGTGTCTGGCACACAGATGGATAACTGTGTTACACAGTGGGTGAGCAACTGGCTCCCAGGTTGGGGACAAGTTATAGTGAATGGGGGGGACATCAGGCTGGTTCCATCCTGGGACCAGTGATTTTCAATACTGTCATTTACAACTTGTACACAGGACTGACAGGAATACTGAATAAATTCACCGACAACACTTAATTGGGAGGAGCTGTTGACTCCCTCAAGTGTATACAGGGCCTGCAGAGAGACCTTGAGAAATTAGAGATGGGTGATCACCAGCTGTATGAAGATTTACAAGGTCAAGGACCAGACTGTGCACCTGGGACAGGACAGCCCTTGGTGTGTGTATAGCCTGGGGAATGAGAGGCTGGAGAGCAGTGCCATGGAAAGGGCCCTGGGGGTCCTGGTTGATGGTAAATTGGATCTGAGTCAGCAGTGCCCTGGCAGCCAGGAGGGACATCCCTGTCCTGGGGACACCAGGCCCAGCATTGGGGATTGTCCCGCTGTGCTTGGGGCTGGGGCAGCCTCACCTCCAGTCCTGGGGCAGCTTTGGGTGCCACAATATAAAAAAGACACGAAGCTGTTGGAGAGTGTCCAAAGGAGGCCACGAGGATGGTGAAGGGACTGGAGGGGAAGCCTTCTGACAAATGGCTGAGGTCACTCGCTCTGGTCAGCCTGGAGAAGAGGAGACTGAGAGGAAACCTCATTGTGGTCTTCAGCAGCCTCATGAGGGGAAGCAGAGGGGCAGGCACTGCGCTCTGCACTCTGTGACCAGTGACAGGACCCAAGGGAATGGCATGAAGATGAATCAGGGGAGATTTAGGTGGGACATCAGGAAAATGTTTTTTGCCCAGAGGGTGGTTGGACACTGGAACAGCTCCTCAGGGAAGTGGTCACAGCACCAGGCCTGACAGTTCAAGAAGTGTTTGGATACTGCTCTCGGGCACGTGGTGTGACTCCTGGGTGTCCTGCCTAGGGCCAGGAACTGGACTTGATGATCCTGATAGGTCCCTTCCAATCCAGCATTTTCTATGGTTCTTTGATTCTATGATTCTGTGAAGTTTCGATTCCCACACTGTCCCCACTCAGCCTCTGTGCCCTCTGACTCTGGGTCCTGTCTGAATGCTCTAGGTTTCTATGGACCAACACACATACACCATTCCCCTGCTTTATCTTAGTCCCTGATCTGTTTTGCTGGATTGATGTGTGCCCTTGAGCTTGCCCTGCAGCACTGTAGCTTCTTGGGAGCTTCTGTGTGAAATGCGGGGCTGGGGATCACTGGGACCAGCCAGAGGGGACATGAGGGACCCTCCTGCAGCACAAAACATTCTCTCACAGGTGACTTTGGGGCACTGAGACTGGCTGGTTTAGCATTTGAGTGACTGCTGCACAAGCAGTCTCTGCTCACCAGGTGAAATGGAGGTTCACCCACCTGAGCCCAAGCAAAAAGCTGCTGCTGGGCAGGGCACAGAGCCCGGGCAGCTCACCCGACCCCCCTGGCAGAGCTGGGCTGGGGGCAGCAGGGGATGGCTGTGTCCCTGGGCTGAGGGCTGGGAGCTGGAGCACTGTCAGCTCTGAGAGGGGCGGGTGGGTGTGTGTGTGCAGCTGCAGCGTTGGGCAAGAGATGCTAATGGGAAACAGAATCAATTCAAACTGCCTGGTGGTGGGAGAAACGCTAACAACATTATGGCTTGGAGCTTGTAGCAGTCCTGCTAGTGAAACAACTGCCGGTGAAATTATGGTTTCTTTCCCTTTCTTTTTTTCATTAGGACACAGAAGTTTTCCAGCTTGTTATACCAGGGCCAGCAATATTCTTCAGTGTCAACAGGAGCTCGGGTGAGCCAACATTTTTTCTGCTAAAGGAAGAAGAGCAGCACGTTGTATCCCTTTCCACTGTGCTAGTCACTAGGAGCACTTCATGTCTCCTCAGGCCATGGGCAGGCAGAGGTGCAGGGGTGTCCCTGGCAGGGCACCAGCGGCTCTCAGGGGCGTGCTGTCCCCCTTTCCCAGCAGATGCCTGCAAGGCAAGCACATTGCAAATGCCACCCTTTGGAGAGAGAGGCTGTCAGGGCTGGGGCGAGTCCTTTTTCTCCTCTGGGAGGTGGCAGAGCACATTCTGGATAATCATTTCATGCTGCTTGGGAGTGGTGCATAGTTTGGTTTCTCTTTGGTTGTGTTAATTGTGTGGTAAGGTGCCTAAAGCCTTCTATTGGCATCTTTATTTATTTAAATACAAATGAAGAAGGCATTAAATCAATTGTTCTTTTTTCTTCCCTCTCTCTTGCCTTATCATTGTTTCTATCACGTACACTTAGCTGTACAGGGCTTTTGCTTTTTCAGCTGAATCAGTGAGATCATTAAGTGAGAGTCCCGGGCTGAATTTCCTGCAGACTCAGGGAGGCTGCCCTGAGGAAGCACACCTTACATCCCCGGCTTTCCCCTATTGCTATTTCACCTACATTACAGGGCACTTCCTAACTTTACTTTCTGGCCAAGCCTTCATTCTGTGACCCCCTGCAAGCCCTAACCATCCTGCAATGCAAAAATAAAGAAAAAAGCTGCACAGTAGGGCAGCAATTGAGACTAGAATACATTTCTCTTACTCCTTACAGCCTTTCATTTGGATGGGCCAATTTACATGACTGGATCGACCCCTTTACTGTTTTAACCTCTAGCTCCTATAGCTAGGAGCAGAACCCAGTATTCCTGGATTTGATAATTCTCCTGCTATTTAACAAGTAGTTTGTAACCAAATGGTAAACTATGAGTTGAGGCCCTCTCTTCTCGCCAAACTCAATAAAATTTAATTACTCCTGGAGTTCAAGTGGTGGCATGTTTCATGAGAGATCTGGAAGCCTAGTATGCAGCTTTCAGATAGACATTGAAATTTAGCTTCTGATGTTTCCCCCTCCTTTTTTGTTCCCAACAATTTATTACATTCACACATTGCAACCTTGCTGGAAAACTATTGTGTATGTCAGCAATCTGCTCATCATGGTCTGCCAGAGATTAAAATACCTGTATGCTGGTTTGAGGGCATTTGTTCTGAGTATGGACTGGTGAAATCAGAAGTTGGGGTCCTGAGGTGTCTGCCTCTCTGGTTACATGGCAGGAGCAGGATAAAGGCAGCCTTGGTCCTTCCCAAAAATCCAATTCAGTCTGCACCATGCAGAGGTCAGAGCAAGGGAGGCTCTTCGTTAAGGACTGAGCTCCCTCTGCTTGGAGTCTTGTTTGCTTTTAAACTTTGACTGTTCTTTGTCTCTGGCCAAATCTACTGCAGAGGGATGCTGGCCTCATTGCTTGCCCTAAATTCTGTTGTACTTACCTCATTACTCTCCTAATGACAAGCTGACAAATGCCTTTGCTTGATTTACTGGCAGTGTTACAGGTGTGTGGAACACTTGTCAGTACCTTGCTACTACATGCCTAATTTTTCAAACGGCTGGGTGTGCTAGCTTCCTTTGCAAGCTGTCTCTGCACACTTACCTGGTATAATTCCCCTGCCATGGGTGTATTCAATACTTGCACCCAAAGCTTCCAGAGCTATGCCCTAAGATTTCACAGAATTGTTTGGCTTGGAAGAGACCTTAAAGATCATCCATTTCCAAACCCTCCAGCCACGGTTGCAAAGCCTCCTTTCCACTAGACCAGATTGCTCAAAGCCCCATCCAACCTGGCCTTGAACACTTCCAGGGATGAGATATCCACAGCTGCTTTGAACAATTTGTTTCAGTGCCTCACCAGCCTCACTTCACACGCCCAAGAAGATAAATCGGACCCTACCTGCAGCTTTTGATGCAACTGGCCTTATGGTAAGAAGTGAGCAGTGAAATGGCACAGTGCAGCAGCCCTCCAGCTGCGTGTGGGTATTTTTGGGTGTGCTGGATCAAGGAGGGTCCAGCACCCACCCTGGACAGGCAGCAGGGCAGAGGTGTCCCTGCCCAAGCCCTTCCCAGGATGTCCCAGCTATGGCAGCCCAAGGGCGCAGGTTTGCACCCCACCTTTTCACCCTCATCTCCCGGTCCTTTTAAACCAGGCAAGGACATTTTTCACTGATGAAACCCTGTCGGAATCTGTGGGTATTGGTGATTCCGAGATTGTAGAAAGTCTCTGTCTTTCTGCCCCGCTGCCAAAGAAGAAGCCATAATTCGTCTGTGCTGGTTTCAAGGTTGTTTATTCTGTTTATCTCTAACATGTTCTGCTGCCCTGTCGCAGCTCTGTCCTGCAGGGCAGCGTGTGGGGCTCTGCCCTCAGTGGGATGGTACAAACATTATATACCAGAAACTACCTGTGCTATATTTACAATAATGTGCCAATATCTGTCACCTACGTTGAACAGCGTGCCCCCAGCCTAAACCAACAGAAAAATGCCAACACCACAGTGAAACATGGAGGGCATGAAGAAGGAGGAAAAGGACAAGACACACCCAATTCCTCCATCTTGTCCCCTCTGAACCCCTAATCTAGAAATCTAAAATTTTACTTTTGCACCCGTGTCACACTTAATTATTACTCTTATCAAACACTCAGAGCTGGTAATTCATCCTGTAAGATTGAAAACTCCTCTCCATGGACAGAGATCACAGACAGTGTCTCTGGGGGCTCTGTACAGGGGGGTTCCTGACCCCCTGCCAGGGTCCCAGACCTGCCAGGACAGCCAGAAGGAAGCCCTGGATTCCCACAAAACCCCAGGGAACAGAGCCGGCCAGCAGCTGCAGGAGAGCAAACGGAGGCTTTGGAGCGAGGGAGAGCGGCAGCCGCCCGGGAAGGGAAGGACACCGGCATTCCGCACACACATTTCCCCACCGGCTGGGCACAGCTCTCCCGCTCTCCTCCCGCCTGTGTTGCTAGGAGAGGAGCGCTCTGCCCTCCTCATGGCTATGAATAGCTCTGCCTTGTTTATCCAGCCCAGCTCCGCCTGCTGGTTACAACCACAGCCGGCACCACCTCTCGGCAGACAATGCGCACGGCCGGGAACGGCCCCGCCGGCCCGGGAGGCTCCGGGACAGCTCTGCCGCAGCCACCCGCTCCTCCTCTCACCGCGCTCCCGGGAGCATCCCCTGCCTGCCCCAGCACGGGCTGAGCCCGGCCCAGCGCGCACTGCCACCCCAGAGAGCAACGCTGAGAGCCGGCACCTGAAAACCAGGGCATCGCCTCGGAAATCCGCCTTGAAAACACACACACATCATCACTGCACGGTCCTTTTCTGCTATTCCAGTGTCAGAGCCTTTCACGAGCTGCAAAAGTTACTTTTCCTTGTGGGTTTTTTTTTTTTTTTTTTTTTTTTTTTTTTTTTTTTTTTTTAAATTGAAGACCAGGGACTTCAAGAAAAGTAACAGATGGCTTGAAAATTGGCAATAATAGGATTCCTGAGATTTTCTTGAGAATATTTTGTCCGAGGTCTGACTAGGAATGAAACATCTCTAGCAGTGAGATTACGTGGTCCGTATTGACAAGGGGAAATATTGATGGGGTTGAGCAAAAGAATCTCCAGAGTGCTGCAAAATGCCACTTCAGGACGTTTACTCCAAGGGATGGAGGGACAGGCAGCAAATACGAGCAATCTGCACGTTATGAGACAGGATGTGTGTGCACAGGCAACCACAGAAAGCTGTGCAACTTCAGGGTAGCAGAGCAGACACAAAACTGCAGCTTTTGGAACAGCCAGGGAACTCAATGAACAGAAAAGTGCTGGGTAAGGCAGAGCAGCATAGATCAGAAGAGATACGGATGTTTGCTGCACAGGTACAGGTGAACCACCCCTTCTTTTTCAGCATTTTGAGTTTCCACATGTGCCGATTTCCTTGGACATCTCGTCTTTCTCCACCTGGGAATTTGCTTGGGATGAAATCTCAATACTGCATATGCTTATCCAGAATTTCCACATGCCCATCAGGCCTTTCAGATAGTTGGACTGCTGAACATCCAGAAATTCAGGATAGGTTGACTGCACACTGGGGAGGTGAACTGTACAGCATTCACACACTATGTCTAATGAATCCAAAAATTGTCAGACCTGCTGTGCATGTGCTGTGCAGATGATCTGCATATGTACAGTTTGCCCAGCGTGTTCTGAAGGTGTCTGCTCTACCTTGTACTCACAGAACATCTATATGGTGCAGGTGTATGTATTCCTGCTAGGAAAATAGGACAAACATAGGGGTTTTTTTACACATCTTGATGTATTTTTAGTGCAGCAGGCAAAGAAACTTAGGTATGTTCCCTGTGTGTGTGGGTCAGACTCTCCTATGCCATGCTGCTTATTTTACAGCAGTCACCCATACAGAGCTGGGGTTGGAGTCCTGTTATTTAAGACACTGTACATGCACAGAGTGAAAATGGGCTATTTTTCCTGCTGCTCCCCAAATCTTCCACCACGATCTAAACTTACAGATGTGCAAGAAAGAGATATCACAATTCTTATTTGAGAGATCAGTCAAACAAAGGGAAGCTCCTAGTCTCCTAAAGCAGGACCCAAGTGGAGTTCAGACACCTCAGTGCAAAACGTGATCCTGTAAATCCTTGTTTAGCTCATGTCGTGTGCTGGGGATGCCCAGACCCCTCACACACACCAGACCTGACAATGAGGCCCCATTGCTCTACTCTGCACCTACCTTGGAAAGGCTCCCACCTGACAAGACTAAGCACAACAGCAGCAGTAGGAAAAGGCCAGACATGAAATTCCTCTTTGCCTAGGGGACCATAACTCCAGGATGGGCTCTCTGTGAGTCCCCAGAGAGGCTGACCCTTCTTTTTAAGGTGCAGTGTCCAAAGTATCCTCCCCATGGAGGATATATGGAAGACTCAGCCTGCTCTTCCTTCTCTCCTGCAGGGCTTTCCTGTCTGCATGTCCCATGGATGTGCTCCAGCTCCCAAGGTGCTGGCTGTTTTGGAGAGGCCATGCTCACCTCTTCTGCCACAGGCATCACAATTTTCCAAAAAGCGTTGTGGCTTCCCTGGGCGCACACACAGCCAGGAGAGGAAGCACATGAAAGAATCAGCAGCCTGGCTGTTTGAGCTTTCAGCAGGGAGGAGGGGGAAGCCCATGCTCCAGTCCACCCTTGGGTGACCACTTCTAACTTTTTATCTCATGTCTCCTTAACAAAAAATTCATAAGCAGAGCTGGGCAAAGAGACCCACATTTTCCTTCGTACATGGAGTGCCACGAGATCAATGAGATTAAACATGTGATTACATGCTGTCCTGAAATGTGCCCATGAGGAGAGCAATGGGAAAGTAAACAGAAGGGAAACGTTATGGAAATGAAGGAAGAGGGAAACTCCACCCTGCCAAGAGCAGAAGCTCTCAGCTAGAGAGCTGAAGATATGGCCTCACCCAGAGCTGATTAGGCATTAGGAAGTCCAGAGACTGGAAAGGAAGACCAAGTCATCTTCATCAAGGTTGGAAAGTGACTCAAAAGAGTGAGATTTGGAGCAGTGGAGAAAGGCTGACTGGGTGAAACCATTCCCAGAGAAGGTAAACTTAGCTTAAGTTTTTTCACCCCATTAGCAGAATGTGGATTCTTGAAACAATCAGGCTTCAACCTGTGACAATACAGGGAGGCTTTTTTCCCTTTAAAGACGCCAAAACCTGGAGATGAATGTCAGGCTCTGCAGAACCCTGTGCACCAGCGGGCACAGCTGCTGCCCTGTGTCCTGCTGTGGAGACTGGGAGATGAAGCTGGGCATGATGTCTACCCTGTCCATGCTCTGGCTGTGCTTCCAACAGGCTGAGTGTGGCAGCTATCCTCTCTGGAGGTACCTTATACACATGCACAGCTCCCAGCACCTGCCAAGGCCAGAGTGCTTGAGCAGCCTG